GTCCTGCAGCCTATCGTTGCTCAGTGAGCTTTGACTGTTTGTCTTGATGACATTCATGTGTGAGAAGCTTGATTCACATGGCGAGCATGAATACAGAAAGTTTTATAACATTAGGGAACTGCTCCTGTTGAATTCTCTCGTTCCAAAACTTGAGTGTACCACTTTCTTGAAAATATTCATTCACTGCGCTGAAACTTTGCATATCCACAAGTTCTAACTTCAGAGAACCTTCATCAACAGAGGAAATAAGCTTCTTAGCACTGGAACAAAAATCACACGCAGGAGGGATTATAAAAGGATCCTGAACAAATAACACTACATTGTTTGGGATATTGGAATCGTCAAATCTGTTGTTTAAATTATTCTAAAGCTTTTTAAAAATATTTATATCATCGATCGGTTAAGGTTGCCGAGTCCAGTGTTGAAGAAATAAAATGGCAAGCAAACTGGTTTCGAATTAGGCAGAGTTGGCGATATAAAAAAAGTATTTCAGTGTCCAGTCACTGCTGAATGCACGTTTTTCACATTCCCACTTACTAGTGCTAGCCATGGCATAAAGTTTTAAACTAAATTATTAAAAGTAGATAATTTAAAACACTGTTACTGATTCGCGTCCGACAATCTATGTATGACTGTGACTGAACGTTCATCTGGACGTTATAATCTGATAACCAGGTATTCTGCCGTGTCCAGTGTCTGATGTTCTGCTGCATCCAATGGCATTAGTTTGTGGCGCCCATTAAGAAGAGATTCTCTGTAATCTAAGCTCTAACTGTCAGGACCGTGCTGGTACTTCCGTACGCCTCCTGTCCAATAAATATCTCACCTTCATTGGTGCAGCAGTGGCCTTTCCGCTTGTTACTTGGTACTTTCCAGCCTATCTTATTACCCTTGGCTTCAAAAAGGCGAGTTTTGCTATTTTATGAATTAATTGAGTAACAGAAAGTATTGTGAACGGCACTCATAGAAAGAAGTAGAAAGATAGAAGAACACACTAGACAACATAAAAATCGAAAGCTATAGTTACCGTGCCGGGAATTGAACCTGTCACCTCCAGACGGCGTCTGCGCCTCGCCATGAATACAAGTGCACTAAGATACATGGTCAACTCGGCACCCCCATGTAAAAGGTGTCTCATTGGCCATGTCTATCGTACAGCTTGAAATCCACGACTATGGAATACGGACAGAATTCATTTCAACCCATTGAAATGGCACCATAGGTTACAGAAATTTATATTAACGAGGCAAATGTCAAATAACAATCACAGCAACAATTTACGTACACAGTAGACCTTATTGCCTTGTCTAGAATACACAAACATTTAAGAAAGGTATTTGATTGGTTTTGCTATTTGAGCGAACTGGGAATGTACTTTTACCCTGATCAAATTACTTTTTCTGTTCCCATGCCGGTTCCCTTGTACCTTCGTATTTACAGATTCCTGACAAACACTTCCAATTGACACATTTGACACGACTGGTTTTTTGAGGAATTTACAGAAACATTGAGTGATTTAATTCTTGTTATTTTCAATAACTACATTTCGCTATTTTGGCAACGATTGGCGGGCCAGTTGCTAGGCCTCGGCGGGCCAGATTTGGCTGTATCTACAGTGTTACGTGCGGACGGCGACACAGACGGAGCGTTTCTTATCAGCTGTCCGTACTGGTGGCAGAGTACTCATGGTTTATAACCATGTGCAATGACGCTTGTTCACATTTTTCTACTTCACCTTTACCTTTTCTATACCGCCACGGCTCCCAATGGATGATGATGATGATGATCACTGTATCTTTTTTTTAAAGTTACATTAGGTGTTTACTTCCGGGTCAGACGACATGTGCTGGTGTTGTACACACTAGGGTCAGCTGTGTGTTGTTCAAAATTTGTGGATTATCATTTTCCCAGAAACTTATCGCGTACACCTGTAATAACTATTATTATTATTATTTACGACAGTATATTTTTGTACGTTTCTTATTCTTGTCTTTCCTCTTCCGTCTAAGGGTTTCTTATCTGATGTAATTATTGTAATTGTGGTGTTATGGCACACTATAATAAAATATGGTGGTCGTTTTGTCGTTGTTCGTGTCTGTGCTATCAGTTGCTCCCAAGGATTGCTATGTGTGTCCAGGAGTGTCCGTATCATTTAAGAATGTTCTCCCCGTGTGGGTTCCGGGGCCCTATTGTGGGGGAAAACAAGAATAGACCCACTGCCTCCCCAAAAGCATGTCGTAAGAGTCGACTAACTGGGAAGCTTCCTTTGAAGTCGGGAGTGCATCTGACTGAGAGGCAAGGAACCAGCAGACTGCATCATTCAGTTGAATCAGATCTGTAAAACTGATGCACACCCAACACTCAGGTTCTGGAGCAGGACTGCAGCCCAGAAGTGGACGAACAACCAGAACTTTACGCTAGAGTTTACAGCTGGTGAACGCGAAGAAGAAGAAGAAGAAGAAGATTTAAGAATGGACACATCAATCCTAAAAATAACTATTACTATTAATACTGTACTTAATTATAAAAAATATATCACAAAGTGGAATGAGAATCAGATAGGAGTAGATTCAAGAAAGCCCGTTCAATATATTTATATATGAGAGCTGCCACTAGTCTGCATGTTCATATACCTTTCTTTTTTAAGTTGTGTATCCTTTACAGGATGTTGCAGAACAAACCCCAGCACTTTCTGGCTGTTGTGGTTTTTTTTAAAGGCACATTTACGTCCAGTAGTTTACCATTGCTACTGGACGGTCGGCCCTCGGTACCACGGTCGAAACCATCGCAAGACAAACCGCCCGCAGCTGGTATCAAACTCAACACCCCAGCATTACAAAACGCGTTCGCAACGCCTAAGCCACAGACCAACATACCTACGATTACGAATCTTTAGTTTAGCAACCGCAAAGTAACCAAAAGTTCAGTATGATGTATGAGTATGGAATTTTAAGAATTTCAATCTACGAGTGTCTCATCTAATGCGACTCCGAGGCTTAGAGTCTAACGAAATGTGGTTGACAATTTCGTGACTCTCGAGTACTGTGGTTCGCTCCCCACGGTGGTTGATGGAACAAAAAAATCATACTCATGATGTCTGGACAATGATACTTATACGAGAGTCACACCGTAGAAAATACTAGGGCCTCAACACGTAATATTCCCAAAGAGAATAGTGATACACTGTAGCCAGCTCCCACTATGGAGCTGGCACCAAACTATGTAACATATAATGAAATCAGTATCACTGGAGCAAAGGCCAAGCCCTCAACGAATCCATGCCAGGCCCTCAACCAATCCATCCCAGGCCCTCAACCAATCCATCCCAGGCCCTCAACCAATCCATGCCAGGCCCTCAACCAATCCATCCCAGGCCCTCAACCAATCCATCCCAGGCCCTCAACCAATCCATCCCAGTCCCTCAACCAATCCATGCCAGGCCCTCAACCAATCCATGCCAGGCCCTCAACCAATCCATGCCAGGCCCTCAACCAATCCATGTCAGGCCCTCAACCAATCCATCCCAGGCCCTCAACCAATCCATGCCAGGCCCTCAACCAATCCACCCCAGTCCCTCAACCAATCCATGCCAGGCCCTCAACCAATCCATGCCAGGCCATTGTAGACTCTCACGCATAGCCTGTTTCACTCCCTGCCTCATTCTCTCGCACTCACTCGCTCTTTTTGTCTTTCAATTATACATTTCAGTAGAGCGTAGGCCATAAATTCACACCTAGTCATTGTTAACTGTGTAGATAGACTCTCTACTGCCTCTCCCTATGTTAGAATTGATACTGTAGCATATGCTCTTAGACAATTCGTGCCATGTCTTTGTAGACTCCTTCTGACTCTCATGCCTTTTAATTTTCACTTTTAGTTGAGCTTATGCCTTCAACCAGTTTATGCCAAGGCATTTTAGACTCTCTCTCTCTCTCTCTCTCTCTCTCTCTCTCTCTCTCTCTCTCTCTCTCTCTCTCTCTCTCTCTCTCTCATATTTTAACTTTCACCGGAACACTGTCCCTCAACCAATAACTTGAAAAAAGGTCCTGTTATAGCAGTGGTTCTCAACCTTCCTATAGCTGCACTTCTTTAATACAGTTCCTCATGTTGTGGCCACCACCCTTACTTACTTACTAAGTCGCTCCTCTTCTACCTTGGGGTGTTCTGTCATTTAGGGATTGTCGGATGTTGTGTTCCCAGCGCACCCTGGGTCGTCCTGGAGGTCTGGTTCCCTGGTTCTTAGCCTCCCATGCCTGCCATGGTGGCTGATTTTCTCCCATTCTGCATACATGTCCAAACCATCGTAACTGTGACTGATCCACTCGGGTTTATAAGGAATGAGTATCAAGATCTTGACGTATTGTCTGATTGCGGACTTTGTCCCTTCTTGTCACTTGGACCACCTTTCTCAGATATCTCATTTCCGAGACCTGCAGCTGGCTTCTGTGAACTGTTGTCATTGCCCATGACCCACACCCATAGGTCAGGACTGGTACATAGGTAGAGCGGTAAACAGCTATTTTCGTCCTCTTGCCAATTTCTCTTTTGCTAAGAAACCCTCGCTTTATAGCCTGGAAGAGTCTCCTAGCAGCTGCTTTTCGTGTAGCCAGCTCAGTCTTAATTCCTCCGTTTCAGTCTAATACAACTCCAAGGTTTTTGAACAGGTTGTGGCCAACCCCCCAACCATACAATTATTTTCATTGCCACTTCATATGTGTTGTCCGATGGCCTTAGGTGACCCCTATGAAAGGATAATTCGGCCCTCAAAAGGGTTGTGACCCACAGGTTGAAAACCACTGTTTAATAGTGATGGGGATTCTGTGTGGTTTTTGCTGTCACAGGAACAAAGCAGTCATGAGAGTGACCTGTTTGCTTGGAAGTTGGAACTGATTATCATTACATGATCTTTTCCATGATTCAGTTCGGCAGAAAGTACAAGTAGAATTAGACAGTGGTGTCTGAATAAGCAGAACATTTGAAGTGCTCGAAACACGAACATAATGTGCAGTATTGAAGATGATGGAGAACTCCGACCAGTGAAGAATGATTCTACTCAGAGGTTAGTGCCTGCAGTTGTTTTTGACTGACTCACCCCCAAAAAAAACCTAGTACATTTTGTTGTTCTTGATTGTCATTTTGTTGTTCTTGATCGTCATTTTGTTGTTCTTGATTGTCATTTTGTTGTTCTTGATTGTCATTTTGTTGTTCTTGATTGTCATTTTGTTGTTCTTGATTGTCATTTTGTTGTTCTTGATTGTCATTTTGTTGTTCTTGATTGTCATTTTGTTGTTCTTGATTGTCATTTTGCTGTTCTTGATTGTCATTTTGTGAAGCTTTGTGGTTTTAGTTCTCATTTAGATTGATATTTTTTTATGTGTTTTTTTTTCTCTATGGTCTCCATTGTGTAGTGGATAAACCATTTGCCTTGTGTGTAGGTTTGATTTGAGAATGTCTTTTTTGTTCATGATGCAAGCATTTTAGAGATTCCTGGGGTCATTGCTGGAGCTACAAAATTTGTGCTTCGTTCAACACTTTCAATGGTGACATGTTGTAGTTAAAGACAGAGTCGTGTTGGATAAAACCACCATAGTGCTTTTCGACTGTGTCCAGTGTGGTTTGTGTTGTGAACTGTAAATTCAGAAAATGGCAACTGGCCTGTTCCCACAGAACAGGTGGTTGGTTCCTTATGTAATGAATTCCATGTTCAACTACTGCTGCTTCCATTAGTGATCTTCTTCTTCATCGCGTTCACCAGCTGTACACTCTGGCGGAAAGTTCTGGTTGCTCGTCCACTACTGAACTGCAGTCCTGCTCCAGAACCTGAGTGTTGCATGTGCATCAGTTTTACAGATCTCATTCTCTTGAATACAGACTGTTGGTTCCTTGCCTCTCCGGCAGAGGCACTCCGACTTCAAAGGAAGCTCCCCAATTAGTCGACTTTTATGACAGGCTTTACTACAACTCTAGTGTTGGACTGTTTGTCTTGGCACTTCTGACGACTGCCTTATGCAGCTAATGCTTGTGTATGCTAATGAATTTGCTGAGACTGCAGTCTATATCAAGTTTTCCCCAATGGACAGTGATAAACATTCTATGTTGTTTTCGTTGGCACAGGAATGGAGCAACTATGAGGTGACCTGTTTGCTATAAAGTTGGAACTTACTTTACCTTACAGAGCACAATTAAACCAGTCCTCTTATATTTAAGCATCCTTTTCTATATCTTCTTCTTCACTCCTATTGACTGTGCTAATGCAGTCCCAGCAGAACTGATCAGATTGAAGCTAAAGGTCTACATTGTTCCTAGTGGAGTTTTTGAGGTCTGATTTTGGGGAAGAGAGAAGCAACTCACTGCCCCCCCCCCCTAACAAGCATGTCCTAAAAGGCAACTAATTAAGGTTTGCTGAAATCAGATGTGTTGCAACAAAATGCACTGATACGCAGCCTAGATGTAAACCACAATACAAAATGCTAGCTGCTTTGGGTAATGCTTATTAGAGCCAGCTAGCTTTTCTGTGGAGAAAGATGAGCCAGACTTTTACCTTAGATAAGCCATCCACGATAAAAGCCAGTGCACTGAAATAGATTGTCTTGTCTTTAAATAGATTATCTCACTGTTCTTGAATTAGGAGGCTGAGTGGTCTTGAAGTGTGGTGTCTGCCTCGAGTGCTGGAGGTCCCAAGTTCAAGCCCCAGTAAAAGATTCACTTTTTTTTTACATCGGCTTCTTGTGATTTTCCCTGGTCTCTGGGTAGTAAAAGAATTCCTTGGCAGTTAGAAATAGAAAATAGTAACCTAATTTTGAATTAAAAATCTACCCTAAGTATTTCACTATCCTCGCTGGTGCAACAGAGTTTGAGATTCTTCAGGATCAGGCTTGAGCTAGAAGTAGAACATAAGTGTTTATGGGTTACACCCGTTTGCCATGATTTTGATCCGTTGAATAGACATAAACTGTTCTTGATTTAATTTTCTTCACTTTTGCAGCCTGCAAGAAAAGAAATGTGTCAAGTGCGACCAGCCAGGTGTCGTCGTCACCCGAATCCATGATTGTTTCTGCAAGTGCGTTCCAGTTTTTTTAAATTTATATGTATGTGTGTTTTTATCAAATTTTCTCTAAGGTGAACAGTTAACTAATTTTGTTTTATAAAATATTTAACTCCTTTATGCCAGGAAACCTTATATTTAATTTAGTTTTTCTGTCCACGTACCATTTATTTACCGTTAATTTCAGTGCAAAAGTCGGCCTCAAGATTTTTAGCAAAAAATTTTTGGTTGACCTGTGCCTACCAAACAGATTTTATACACCCTATGTAAGTCAGTCAGGTCGACCCAGGCTTGAAGGGGTACCAGGTGCAATCCTGGGAAGTAAAGGTGGCCAGAATGATGCTGACAACATCACCCACCAAGTGCCGATTGGTCTATAAAATATGGGTCTCGCCCCATATGCTCAGGAAGCCTAAAGGCCTGGAATATGGTCCTTTACGTCAGTCCCTAGTTCTAGAAAGATTTTTAAGGCTTGAAAACTCAACTTGATACAACAATTCCTGGTTGCTGAGTGGTCTCGAGGCATGGCGTCTACCTTAAGTACTGATAAAGGCTGGGATTTTTTCACGTGGGCTTCAGGTAATGTCCCCTGGTTTCTGGGTAATATGATCAGACGCCAGTGTGTATTGTTGCGCACATTAAAAAAAATATTCTTTGGTAGTTGGAAATAGAAAAGAGTAACCTAACGGAGCTGCCCAGGCAAAATTTGAAGTTACAAATCTAGCTAAGTGTTTCAGGATCCTCGCCAGAGTTTGTGCGCTGCGCTTGAAATCTCTAACTCAGGCTTGAGTTGAAAGCAGAGCACTTTAGGGTTACCACCCTTGGGCCATGATGTTGATCCGTTGCATAAACAGAAACTAGTAGCCATTTTCTGCCAAGTTTGCTGAATTCATAGACCTAGCTTATTTAACGGTGTGTTGAAACCCATAGACCACACGTTTGTTTTTTTCTGAGTATATCAACTTATCGCTACACAATAACTAAGACTTTCTGGTCCATAAACCATTCATTTCCACACAATAACCTAGGTATTTTTCCCATAAACCATCCATTTAACTGAGTATTTTTACTCATAGCCAAACAATTAACTACTTTCTACTTTTAAACCATGTGCTATTGCTACATTGTCCAACGGTTGGTGCCATCGTGTGTATTTTCAGCGACTATAGTTTATTCTATGCACTTGTATTCTACAGTGATATAAGCATGAAATAAATTATGAGGTCAAGCCCTATGTGCCCAATGCACCTAATGGCGCAGAAAAGGGTCCTTTACTTTAATATGTTATACCCCAAAATGGCAGTGCTTGCCACAAGTCTACTTTTACTTTCACTTTCTTTTAGGATTAAAAATTATGTTAATTTTTTTCCCAGATCGTGCTTTCAAGTGTACGTGATTCATAAGTTTCGAGCAGCTATTGGCAAGTCCAAGTTGATTCGAGAGGGGGAACGTGTTCTGGTGGCATTTTCAGGGGGAGCCAACTCTGCAGCCTTGCTTCATTTGATACAAGATGTATGTATGTTGTGTTTAGAGTTACTGTCCTTTTGTGGAGTCCTGTATTTCATTGATTTTAGTGTGTGCTATAGCTCTCAATATCAGACTTGGACATTGACTAAAAAACACACACAAAACTGACCACCTGCAGAATGTGATATTTGAGAAAGGCATGAACAAAGCTCAAAGACATCATGCGAGAAGTAAAGAAATTACAATAACTATTGGAGCAAGATCTGTTATTAAATTCATTGAAAAACAAAGACTGAAATGGTTTGGCCATTTAATGAGAATGAATCCAGTGATGCCAGAAATGAGAGCATACAACATGCAAGTAGTAACACCAGTTAGGGAATTATCCTTTAAAGTCAGAGTTGCTTAAGAGGCAAGGAACCAACAGTCTGCATACAAATAGGTCAGATCTGTAAAATGGATGTGCATACAAAACTGAAGTCCTGGAACAAGACCAAAGTCCAGAAGTGGACAAACAACCAGAACTTTTCTGCTGGTGTTTACAGCTATTGAACGCGAAGAAGAAGATACATATTTTTCTCTATGTATCTTTCTGTCTATCCTCTCTCTCGTTCTCTCTCTCTACATATATTTGTATATATTTATCTTTCTCTTCCCACCCTTCTCTCTCTTATGTATGTATGTATGTATGTATGTATGTATGTCTGTATGTATGTAAATCATTACTGTGGTGTTTGCTACAGGGATTAAGCGACAGAGCACACAGAAAGCTTCGATTCATCCCAACAGTTCTACACGTTGATGGTGAGTGCTCTTATGTTTGATGTTTTTATATGTCAGGCCATAAACACCAGCATCTACGCAGCACAGAGCTAGGTTCACACCCGAAGTCTCCTAAAAGTCTGACTCTGTGAGTCAGAGCATGGCTAGAGAAGAGGCAGAAGATGTTTATGTGTGGCTGTATCAAGGGCCCGAATGAACAAACAAACTTTATTTTCAAAGGGTTACAAATTAGGCACGCAGGCCTGTCTTAAATTCGGCCCTTCCAAACTTCCATCTTTCACACAGCAGATGTATTTCATCAATGAAGCATGTTATATTCATGTAATAATATGCATATTATATATATGAAGTCAAAAACAAAAGCATGGCTGGTAAAATATGTACGCACGCTCACGCGCGAACACACACACCCACATACACACACAAGCCCAATGACTCACTTACACACAAACATATAGGCAATAAGTACACACATACATACGAACATGCACACATACATACATACATACATACATACATACATACATACATGCATGCATGCATACATACATACATACATACACATGCAGGCAGGGAAACAGACACACACATTGACATACGCAACACCCACACATACACAGATATACACACACAGACACACACAGTCAGACATACGCACACGAGGCATAACCCGACACAAGCAGAGACACGCAGACATAATAATGGTGAAGAGACACTGTTTTTTCATTCATATGGCATTCTCTTAGATTTGTACGTTACATTATTCTTCATCTGAAAGATACTGTTGAATCCTCTTCATATCAAGAAGATGGTTATAAAATATTAACATTCATGTTTTCTGAAAATTGTCAGAATTTACACTGCGTAGTCTAGCCGTTTGCCTTGCGCTATAAAGATCATGGGTTCATGTCACAGGGGCATCGTTCATTTCAGGAATGCAATTTTATGGAAATCCCTTGGATCATGGTCAAAGCTATGGAGTTCCTGCTTTGTGTGACACTCTCTGGAGGTGGCTAGCCATTCTGCTAAGAGAGACTGGCCCTTATGGGATAAAACTGGGTGCAGTGAAGTCTATCTTCTCGACTTTAACTCAGCTTTCGAATTTACGAGTAAGGGGGATGTACAAATGGTAGTAAACCCATATTTCTTTTAGACCAATCAACACTCAATGGCGGATGTTGTCGACACGACACTGGCTACCTTTATTTTGCAGGACATTTCCTGGTACCCATTTTTAGGCAGAGTTGATTATACAATATTCTCCTTGAGGTAGATTCGAATCCACGACCTTCGGACCATCACTGTACTACTCAGCTCCCTCTTGTCTTTATTATTGCTGCCTGAAATGTTCTTTTCTTTTCTATTTTGAATCAATTTTCAAATGAAAGAACAGGGATCTCCTCGACTTACGACAGAGCTACATTCTGACTAACAGGTCACAGGTTCAATTAAACATTTTCAGCACAATTTTCAATCAGATGGGTAATAAAATTTGCAAATAAAACACAAAAATACCATCCATGTTCATATAAATATTGTTTATAATGTGTGAAATACTTATTTACTGTATTGCATTAGTTCTTTGAACTTTCTACCTATCGTTCTTGATTTACTGTTTTTTATGTAATTATTTTTTAATTGTCCTAAGTGCGGATGGTCTAAAGTCTGGGAGAAAGTTTATATATAACATGTTTTTTGAAATAACTTACAGAATGTGGTGTTCTTGATGTGAGTAGCGATGCAAGACAAGAATTGAGACAAAAGATTGCCAGGGTGATGTTGAAGTCTGGTTTTCCAGCGTACATTGTCGACTTTGAACAGGTGAGCATTTCACTTTGAAATTTGTATAATTGAAAGCCATCATTGTCAGGCAGAAGTTTGAATGGGAATAGAAACCGTCAAAGTATTATTCAACAGTGTGGGAAAACTTCTGACATGTGAATACCAGGTCAGCGAAGAAATTGGTGTCCAAAGCAATTACTGCCATTCACAAATTCTCTGCCCCAGTGTACTTGGCAGGGTGATGAGTCTTCTTGTCTCATTTCTTTTTTTTTTTTTTTCAAATACAGTTTCTGAAAACCATCTAGTGCCCATTTCTTTTGTCATTAAAATTAATTTTAGAGCAGCAGATGAGATGGGTTAATCATCTGACGAGAATATCTTGCAATCAGCTGCCACAGAAAGCCACACGGAAGAATATAATGGTCACAGAGCAAAGGAAGAACCAAAATGTGCAGCGATAAAGATCAGCTTTAACCCTTAGAAGACACAGAACTGACACTTACAGTTTTAGTCAGTTACAAGTAAAGGTAACTTTTCCACTTGTCTATAGTGATCTGTTTATGAGACACATAGTTAATGCTATTGGCTGTGTTCAAGCCTGCGCAAATATTTATCGGCAGATATCTTCTTCTTCTTCAGCATTCCGAGCCCTTGAGGTTCATTGCTGCAGATGTCACCCGCCTCCATTCCTCTCTCTGGTTGGTCTTTTCTTTCCAGTTGGTAACACCAAGTGTTTGCAGGTCTGTCTGGATATTATCTCTCCATTGGTCGTCTTCTTGGTCTGCCTTGTGGTCCAAGACACATATATATATAAACTAAAAATAGCATGGAAAGGGGTGGGGGGGGGGGTCTTCAAATTCCATGCTGAGGTCAAATTTTCCTGTAAGCCTAAGTGATAGAGGTCCAGGTGTGATTCACCTGGTACGTTTATTTTTTAAGCCCTGGAGAATGTTTTCCATTTAATGCTTCACTGTCTTCATGTTTGTTGATTACCTCTTTAAAATCTGTATATAATTTCATGACTAGCCATGTGGCCTTAAATGCTCAGCTTCAAAGACCTCCTGCCTACACCTCAAAGACCTCCTGCCTACACCTCAAAGACCTCCTGCCTACACCCCAAAGACCTCCTGCCTACACCCCAAAGACCTCCTGCCTACACCCCCAAAAACCTCCTGCCTACACCCCCAAACACCTCCTGCCTACACCCCCAAAAACCTCCTGCCTACACCCCCAAACACCTCCTGCCTACACCCCCAAAGACCTCCTGCCTACACCCCCAAAGACCTCCTGCCTACACCCCAAAGACCTCCTGCCTACACCCCTAAAGTGGTAAATCAAGGTAGTAATAGCAGTTTGTCTGTGGCTGAGGCGTTGCGAACGCGCTTCTTAATGTCGGAGTGCCGGGTTTGATTCCAGCAGCAGACCCCTCACCTTGCTTTGATTTTGACAGTGGTATCCAGAGCCGACCGCCCAGAAAGAAGTGGCAAACTACTGGGTGTGAATTTGCCTAGAAAAACGACAACAGCCAAAAAATGCTGTGGTTGGCTCTGCAACATCCTTAACAACTTAAATGGCAGTTAAAAAAATATATCTATTTCCAACGAACAATCACATTTTAAACATTGACATTTAATTTATTTTTAAACATTTATTAGTGACCTGTGTAAAATTGTTTTTAAATGTTTTTGTTGTTGAGAATTCCAACAGCCATGACCTATATTTTTTAGCATTTTTCTTCTTTTTCTTCTTCTCCTCTTCCATAATTGACCTCAGCAATGTGTTGAGGGGGAGATGTAAGGATCATTTGTGCTTTTTCCAATGTTTTATACAAGTTGGTGTTCATTTTTGTTTTGTTGCGCCTGATGATGTCACTCCATATCTTGCATGGTCTTCCCCTTGCTCTGTATTCATTATATTTTTTCAGCGTGGCTCTCTGTGGCAGTTTTTACTTGGGCATTCTCATCAGGTGGCCAAACCATCTCACTTGTTGTTCTTTAATGAAGTGTATGACTGGTTTCAGTCCTAGCCTTCTTCTAATTTCTTTATTGTTGATTTTATCTCTTCTTGTGACACCCGTAGCTCTCCTAAGTCATCTCATCTCTGTTGTGACGATCTTCCGCTTGTTTTTTAGCGTTACCTTAGCAGAAGGGTGAAAGAAATGAAGGTAAATGTATACAATGAATTAGAAAGAGCACACTGAGGATCCTTACATCTCCCCTAACATTTTGATGGGTTGACTGAGGAAATTGAAGGAGTTAGATGAAGAAGAATAAGAAGAGGAGGAGAGGAAGTATAAGAAATGGATAAAAATGAGGAAGAAAAATAAAGAGAGATAAAGAAAAAAAATTAAAGGTGAGGAAGAAGAATGAGAAGATGAGGAAGAATTATAGAAGAAGAATGAAAAGACCCATTTTACAAAGCGGGGTCTGATCCAAAGCTGCATTTGTCAGAAGAAAAATAGCATCCTACCCCGACTGTTTTTTTATTGCAGGCTATAGATATTGAGCGTAAAAATATGGGGACACAAAATGGAACAGACGGTGTTAGCAGTGATAGTGGTTGTCTGGTCCATGATGCCAAGGATGGATTGAGCACACCTGCTGTTGATGCCTCGCAGACCAATAAGCTAAGGTCACTCGTTGGTAGTGTTGCTTCACTGACAAGCCAAGAGGACTTTGTTCGACATCTAAGGTGAGAAACAAGTGTTGGTTGAATGGTACCACCACCACCATCATCATCATCACCATCATCATCATCATTTGGCTTGTCGGATTGTGTAGGCCAGGCCTATTGAACTAAGTTTATCATCATCATCAAGTTCCTTGCCAGCTGGCGTAGGTCTTTGGCATTCTGGATCAATTCCACTGATGCTATTCCCCCATGTCACTGTCTTAAGCCATCCACCATCATTTCTCTTGGTCTGCCTCTGCCTCTTCTACCACTGATCTTTCCAGTCGTCACAGTATTTTCCAGTTCTCTTATTCTCATCATCAGGAACCAAAATGTTGGAAAATAGGGATGGTCGCATGCCAGAGACCGGAGCCCCAGCATAGAAGGACCATTAATGAAAATTGAGTTGCCATGTGCTAGGCTTCTGTGGTTTAGTTGAGTTGATTCAAGAACTGACATTACAACACTCGTGGCATTCCAATATTTGCTCCATCCCCATCTTCAGCAGTCAGTGCAGAGTTCCGATACTAATGGTGCCAGTAGCATTCTGATTATACATCTGTCTTGCCTTTCCTCTGAGCATCAAGCATGTAAATAGGCCATATCTGTAAAAAGGATGAGCATGAAAAAATCCAGTTCTTGAACAAACCTAAAGTCCAGAAGTGGGCGACACAACCAGAGTCAGAAATAAGAACAAGCATATGCCTACACATGTATTTTCACATAGATATACTTACATATTTGTGCCTACACATGTTTTTTCACATATATATACTTACATATTTGTGCCTTTATGTGTATTTTCACATACATATACTTACATATTTGTGCCTACAGATGTATTTTCACATACATATACTTACATATTTGTGCCTACACTGTATTTTCACATACATATGTTACATATTTGTGCCTACACATGTATTTTCAAATACATATACTTACATATTTGTGCCTATATGTGTATATTCACATACATATACTTACATATTTGTGCCTATATGTGTATTTTCACATACATATACTTACATATTTGTGCATACACTGTATTTTCAAATACATATACTTACATATTTGTGCCTACACATGTATTTTCAAATACATATTCCTACATATTTGTGCCTATATGTGTATATTCACATATGTATACTTACATATTTGTGCCTACACATGTATTTTCACATACATATACTTACATATGTGTACCTACACTTGTATTTGCACACATATATATATACTTACATATTTGTGCCTACACTGTATTTTCACATACATATGCTTACACATTTGTGCCTGCACATGTATTTTCACATACATATAGCTACATATGTGTGCCTACACATGTATTTTCACATACATATAGTTACATATTTGTGCCTACACATGTATTTCCATATACAAATACTTACATATATTCTTGCCTACACTTGTAGACTTTTAAAAGAATTGAAACTACACACACTTTTTTGTGACCAGGAACCAGTTGATTGTCTGCATCGTCCGCCAGATGGGGTTCTCAAAAGTTCTGACTGCCGAATGTTCCACCCGGTTATCCATTAAAATCCTGACAGATATTGCTCAAGGTCGTGGCTCACAGCTGTCGCTGAACACGGTAATGTTTATCATATGTGGATTTGTGTGCAGATTTCATCATTGTATAGCCGATCCTTTGCAGAACATTGCATTCATCAGTCTACCTGAAAGAAACTTGGTGTAATTCCAGCTTTCCTGCCTAAAGTGTCACTTATATCCTGTGTTCATCTTCCTGCTGGTCGGCCCCTGCCCCTCCTTCCTTGCACCATGCCCTCTGCTGTTATTCTTTCTGATCTGCTGTGGTGCTTGATATGGCTAGCATATTCTGTTTCCGACACAAGAGGCCTGTTTGGTGATTCTCTGTTTGTCTGTTTTCAGAATGTGTCCCATTTAGTAGTGCTACATGTTTTTTTTTTAATGATCTTTTCTGTTATGAGTTCCCTTTGTTATAAGTGCTCCATGTTGTTTTTTTAAATGATCTTTTCTGTTATGAGTTCCCTTTGTTATAAGTGCTCCATGTTGTTTTTTAATGATCTTTTCTGTTATGAGTTCCCTTTGTTATAAGTGCTCCATGTTGTTTTTTTAATGATCTTTTCTGTTATGAGTTCCCTTTGTTATAAGTGCTCCATGTTGTTTTTTTAAATGATCTTTTCTGTTATGAGTTTATTTTGTTATAAGTGCCCTGTTTTTGTTTAAAATGATCCCTAATATTATGAGTTCCTTTCATTATAAGTGCTCCATTTTATTATTGGGTATTACATTTTGTTGTAAGGGAGCCGTTGTGGAGCAGCAGCTAGATGCTCACCTACAGATGAGAAGGTTATGAGTTCGGGTCCTGATGGAGCTGGACTTTTTCAAAAATGACCTTGGCTCCCGGGTCAACCTAGCTTTGAGCCCTGGGAAGTAAAGGCACCCGGCGTGATATTGACCACGTCACCTACCAAGTACCGATCAGTCTACAACATGGAGGTCTAGCCCTATATGCCCAATCTGCCTGAAGGCATGGGAAAGGGTCCTTTACTGACATTTAGTACCAAGTGTTTCATTTTCATTTCAAGTGTCACCATTTCTGTACGTCACTTTACTTTCCAGGCATTTTGTGATCAACGCAACGGTGACGTTCTGTTTGTACGGCCTGTGAGGTAAGCTTCTATTATGGCTAACTAAGCAGATAACTGCATGAATTTCAGTGAATCAGGCGCTGAGGAAAAGATGCTGACATTGGAAAGGTCACACATCGGTCTGGAAGAAATACAGTTCTTGTAGCTTTTGTTCAGTGGTATGAGAGTCAAACCGTAGAAGAGATTGGGCTATACCAAATCAAAGGACTCTTTTCATGCCAGTGGAGGAGCCGCTAGACGCTCGCTGCGTATTGGAAGGTCGTGGGTTTGCTCCCTGGCGGAGCCGGACTTTTCTCAGAAAAGGCCTTGACTCCCAGATTGACCCAGCCTTGAGTGGGTACCGGGTGCAGTTCCCTGGAAGTAAAGGTGGCCGGCGTGATGCTTGCCCTATACACCTAAATGCAGGGAAAAGGGTCCTTTACTCCACTTCTCATGCCATTGGTAACTCCGGCATAGGATGCTATACTCATTTCTATAAACCAGTCGGAACTCAGTGGGTGATGTAGTCAGCATCTGCCTCTACTGCCCAGGACTTTACCTGGTACTCATTTTTAGCTAGGTCAGCCTGAGGGTCAATGCAGAAGTCATTAAAATAATCAGACCCAATGCTGATTCATATTTAAGGCCTTTTGACCAACAGGTGAGCGTAAATGGCAGTTATTCATTGTCTCGTTGTGTCCTTTTATATCACACAGAACTCACAGTCTATTTCTCCATTCTTTTTTATCCAGTGCAGTCATTTCCGTATCATGGATGGAATAGGGTCCGGCAGCTTTGGCTTCTCATATTAGTGTTCACTTTAGAGTTACTCTTCCACATCCTCGTTTCCTCAGCCTATCTATTTCAAAGCCTGTTTAGTGATTCTTTGCTCTCATCTTCTCAGAATATATCTAGTATAGCACCATCCTCTCTGTCTTCTTCTTCTTCTTTTGTTCGCTTGAAATAGATCATCTATATCTGCAGTGTTGTCACTGGTATGAACTTCACTGTCTTTTGTAATTCACTCAGTGACCCGTAAAGTTTGACTTGCACCGGTGTTTTCTCTGTCTTATAACTATTGATCTTAGTGGTTCCCACGACATTTCTCTCATTCAGCACTTTCTGGACGAAAATACACGTAAAATATTTTACGTATCCTACATTCAAACGCATATTGACTATTGTTCCACAATTTGGGATGGCTGCTCCAAATCTATTGTCAAACGGCTGAGTTCTCTACAAAATAGGGCCTTATGCCTAGTTTCCGATAGAAACTACGTCGAGAAAAATCTTTTATATAGACATCTAAGGCTTCTGCCATTTAGTAAACGTTTAATTTTTAATAAGGCCAAATTTATTCACAAAATCCTATCTAAAGATACTCCAAATTACATCGACCGATTTATTCAATCTAATCCTAAGAATAGCAAGCGACTAGGTTTATTACATTTGCCTAAACCCAGAATTGATTTATTTAAAATAAGTCTATCATATTCTGCTGCTCATTTATGGAACCATCTTCCACTCGATCTGAAAACTACAAAAAGTCCTTACTCATTTAACCGCAAACTCTTTCATTACATGATTATCAGTGATTACATGCCACCTTAAATGTAGTTAATAATCCACAATGCATTACTAGTTATAATTAATTGCAGTACGTATGATATGCTTGAATGCGTATATGTGTGACATGCAGGCGTGTGTAGGCGTATTTGTGTGTATAATTCTCTGTATGCATGGGTAACTGTATACGTTTGTGTGTCTGTGTTGTGTGTCTGTGTGTGTGTGTTTTTTTTTTTAATGTCTATCTGTATGTGTGGCGGCATGTGTGTCTGTGTGTGTGATTGTATGTGGATACGTGTGGGTGTGGCTTGGCTGCATGTTTGTCTGTGTATGTGTGTCTGTCTGTTTGTGTGTATCTATGCTGTGTCTGTAGGTGTTTCTGCGTGTGTCTGTGGCTGTGTTTCTCTGTGTGTTGTTTCGCGTGTATTTGTATGTTCATCTTTTTGATAATGTGTGTGTGTGCGTCTGCATGTGTATGTCTATGAGAGTATTTGTGCGTCTGTGGGTGTGTTAGTATGTGTTTGTGTATGTCTCTGTGTGTCAGTGTGTGTGTGTGCCATTATGTGTCTGTAGGTGTGTATGGCTGCATGTGTATCTGTGTCTGTCTGTGGCTGTGCGTGGCTTTGTGTGTATCTGTGTGAGTCTCTATCGGTGTGTCTATTATATAATGTCTGCGTGTCTCTGCTTGTGTCGGGTTATGCGTCTGCGTGTATGTCTGTGTGCATATGTGTGACTGTGCGGGCCTGTGTGTGTATACCTGTGTATGTGTGGGTGTTGCGTATGTCAATGTGTGTCTGTTTTCCTGCCTGTGTATGTGTTTGTATGTGTGTGTCTGTATGTGTCTGGGTTGTATGCGTGTGTGTTTTAGAGCGTGTGTATGTATGTATGTATGCATGTATGCATGTATGCATGTATGTATATATGTGTGCGTGTGTGTGTGTGTGAGTTTGTATGTATGTATGTATGTATTTTTTTATGTATGTTTGTGAGTATGTATGTGTGTGTGTGTATGTATTATGTGAGTTTGTATGTATGTATGTATGTGTGTATGTATGTATTTATGTGTGTGTGCATGTTCGTATGTATGTAGATGCATGTGTGTACTGGGTGCCTATGTGTTTGTGTGTAAGTGAGTGATTTGGCTTGTGTGTGATTGTGGGTGTGTGTGTTCGCGCGTGAGCGTGCGCACATATTTTACCGCCCATGCTTTTGTTTTTGACTTTATATATATAATATGCATATTATTACATAAATATAACATGCTTCATTGATGAAATACAACTGCTGTGCGAAAGATGGAAGTTTGGAAGGGCCGAATGTAAGACAGGCCTGCGTGCCTAATTTGTAACCCTTTGAAAATAAAGTTCGTTCGTTCGTTCGTTCTTATGTGTTCAGCCATCTTGAATTCGTCCCATTTTATGATCATTATTTTCCTCAGGCAATTGTTTGTGAATGTTTTAACTTATTTCTTTAGTGGCTCTCCAACGTTTGCTTGCTTTTGTTAGGTGTTTTTGTTTTGTTTGTTAAAGGATTTATATCTGGAAATTCCTACCGGTTCATGACCTATATTTATTTTTGCAGCCATGGGGCAAAAGTGTTTTAAGAAGTATTGTTGCTAAAATTCTAAATTACATACAAAGACAGCAAATGTTTGCCCACTTGGAGGATGCCTTCTGATGCTATACCATACAATGTATATACCAAAAGAGGAGAGGGACATAGTCAAAAGGTAGACCAATAACAAGATAGGAAGTTAACACCAGAGAAATTCTATAAAGCAGAACCTTATTTCTCTCTCGGCAGCCGAAGGTAAAAGAGGACGTAAAAAAGAAGAAAAATTGTTGCTAATGTTATGATGACACGACAAACTTCTTAATTTTTTATGTTTAGGTTTAGACAACGGATCAACATCATGGCACTTGGGTAATAACCCATATGTACTCATTCTACTAACGACTCAAGCCCGAGTCCGAAGAATCTTAGCGCAGTGCAGAAACTCTGCAGCACCGGCGAGGCTTCTGAAATACTTTGAGTAGATTTTCAACTCCGCATGTTTGATGTAATCAATATACCAATGATTTTTTAAAAGACACTATATACTGTATTTTCCTTGTCAACAGAGATTTAACATCTAAAGAGCTCGTGATGTACAATACTTTGTTTGAAGTTGACAGTGTTTTTATACCCAGCATTACCACAAAGGTCAGTAAGTATTTGTTCGTTCTTCTTTTGTCTTTGCGTTCACTGGCTGTAAGCTCCAGCTGAAAGTTCTGGTTGCTCGTCCATCTCTGGACTTGAGTCTTGTTCCAGAACCCGATTGTTGCATGAACATTTGTTTGACTGATCCGACTCATTTGTGTGCAGACTGTTTGTTCCTTGCCTCTCAGGCAGATGTACTCCGACTCTCAGATTTTACATACTACTTAACCCTTACAGTCACAGATTTAACTCAGTCTCGGATTTCACATGCTACTTAACTCTTTCAGTCCTACATTTCACATGCTGCTCAACTCTTTCAGTGTCACATTTCACTTACTGCCTAACTCTTTTAGTCTGTTTGGACAGCACATTGATGTTGCTGTACTGTTGTGTGTTGAGATGGTACATTGATATTGCTGTGCCATCGTGTGTTGATACAGCACATGGTTATTGCAGTTCTTTTGTGTGTTGAGACAGCACATTGATGTTCCTGTACTGTTGTGTGTTGAGATGGTACATTGATGTTGCTGTACTGTTGTGTGTTGAGACAGCACATTGATGTTCCTGTATTATTGTGTGTTGAGACAGCACATTGATGTTGCTGTACTATTGTGTGTTGAGACAGCACATTAATGTTGTTGTACTATTGTGTGTTGAGACAGCACATTAATGTTGTTGTACTGTTGTGTGTTGAGATGGTACATTGATGTTGCTGTACTGTTGTGTGTTGAGACAGCACATTGATGTTCCTGTATTATTGTGTGTTGATACAGCACATTGATGTTGCTGTACTATTGTGTGTTGAGACAGCACATTGATGTTGTTGTACTATTGTGTGTTGAGACAAAACATTGATGTTGCTGTACTATTGTGTGTTGAGACAGCACATTGATGTTCCTGTACTATTGTGTGTTGAGACAGCACATTGATGTTCCTGTACTATTGTGTGTTGAGACAGCACATTGATGTTGCTGTACTATTGTGTGTTGAGACAAAACATTGATGTTTCTGTACTATTGTGTGTTGAGACAGCACATTGATGTTCCTGTACTATTGTGTGTTGAGACAAAACATTGATGTTGCTGTACTATTGTGTGTTGAGACAAAACATTGATGTTGCTGTACTGTTGTGTGTTGAGATGGTACATTGATATTGTTGTACTGTGTGTGTGTGTGTGTTGAGTCAGTGCATTGATATTGATGAACTGTTGTTTTTGTGTGTGACCCTACATTGATACTGCTGTACAGTTTTGGCAGCACATTTAAATGACTCATCTTGTATATTGAGGTAGTTTTGCACATTATTGTAACGTTCTCTTCCGGCAGCACATTTAAATGACTGTTATTTTGTATACTCAGACAGCGAAAGACTCGAGCATAGAGCGACTGACGGAAACATTTGTTACTGGTCTTCAGGCAGACTTCTCTTCAACAGTTGCTAATATTGTCAGGTAAGTCGTTACTGCTGATGTGTTTACCACTTGTGGGGGGGGGGGGTCCCTTTTAGCCTGATGATTTCTAAAGACTAACAGGAAATTATAATTCGTCATCATCATCATCATCATTAGTTTCCATTCTGCCATTAAGCGTTGTGTTAAGGAACAGTTCCATTGCTTGATGGGCAACATTGGCTATTGTCATTCCGTTTCGATAAAGAAGCTCTTTAGTGTAATCAGCCCATCTGTACAAGTCTGGTCAGTGTGTACTCCATTGTGTACACACTCATTTTGTACACCAAGGCCTTGACATTTGCAGGAGATAGGATATGTTGGAACTCCAAGAAAAGAGCATGTGTCTGAGTGCCCAAACAGTTGCAAGTAAAATGACCAAGAAAAGTTCTGGAATCTGTGCTTCATCTTCTCCTTAATAATGAGGCATTGGTAGTCATGTCTGTCCACAACCTTCTGTCTCGTGTACTTTCAATCAACTCTGACACAGATGATCTTCCATAGTCCATGATGTGAGTCGTTGGTAGTCATGTCTATCCCCAACCTTCTGTCTCGTGTACTTTCAATCAGCTCTGACACAGATGATCTTCCATAGTCCATGCCGTGTGGCGTTGGTAGTCATGTCTGTCCACAACCTTCTGTCTCGTGTACTTTTAATCAGCTCTGACACAGATGATCTTCCATAGTCCATGCCGTGTGGCGTTGGTAGTCATGTCTATCCACAACCTTCTGTCTCGTGTACTTTTAATCAACTCTGACACAGATGATCTTCCATAGTCCATGCCGTGTGGCGTTGGTAGTCATGTCTATCCACAACCTTCTGTCTCGTGTACTTTTAATCAACTCTAACACAGATGATCTTCCATAGTCCATGCCGTGTGGCGTTGGTAGTCATGTTTGTCCACAACCTTCTGTCTCGTGTACTTTTAATCAACTCTGACACAGATGGTCTTCCATAGTCCATGCCGTGTGGCGTTGGTAGTCATGTCTGTCCACAACCTTCTGTCTCGTGTACTTTTAATCAACTCTGACACAGATGGTCTTCCATAGTCCATGCCGTGTGGCGATTGTAGACATGTCTGTCCACAACCTTCTGTCTCGTGTACTTTTAATCAACTCTGACACAGATGATCTTCCATAGTCCATGCCGTGTGGCGATTGTAGTCATGTCTGTCCACAACCTTCTGTCTCGTGTACTTTTAATCAACTCTGACACAGATGATCTTCCATAGTCCATGCCGTGTGGCGATTGTAGTCATGTCTGTCCACAACCTTCTGTCTCGTGTACTTTTAATCAACTCTGACACAGATGATCTTCCATAGTCCATGCCGTGTGGCGATTGTAGTCATGTCTGTCCACAACCTTCTGTCTCGTGTACTTTTAATCAACTCTGACACAGATGATCTTCCATAGTCCATGCCGTGTGGCGATTGTAGTCATGTCTGTCCACAACCTTCTGTCTCGTGTACTTTTAATCAACTCTGACACAGATGATCTTCCATAGTCCATGCCGTGTGGCGATTGTAGTCATGTCTGTCCACAACCTTCTGTCTCGTGTACTTTTAATCAACTCTGACACAGATGATCTTCCATAGTCCATGCCGTGTGGCGATTGTAGTCATGTCTGTCCACAACCTTCTGTCTCGTGTACTTTTAATCAACTCTGACACAGATGATCTTCCATAGTCCATGCCGTGTGGCGATTGTAGTCATGTCTGTCCACAACCTTCTGTCTCGTGTACTTTTAATCAACTCTGACACAGATGATCTTCCATAGTCCATGCCATGTGGCGATTGTAGTCATGTCTGTCCACAACCTTCTGTCTCGTGTACTTTTAATCAACTCTGACACAGATGATCTTCCATAGTCCATGCCGTGTGGCGATTGTAGTCATGTCTGTCTACAACCTTCTGTCTCGTGTACTTTTAATCAACTCTGACACAGATGATCTTCCATAGTCCATGCCGTGTGGCGATTGTAGTCATGTCTGTCCACAACCTTCTGTCTCGTGTACTTTTAATCAACTCTGACACAGATGATCTTCCATAGTCCATGCCGTGTGGCGATTGTAGTCATGTCTGTCCACAACCTTCTGTCTCGTGTACTTTTAATCAACTCTGACACAGATGATCTTCCATAGTCCATGCCGTGTGGCGATTGTAGTCATGTCTGTCCACAACCTTCTGTCTCGTGTACTTTTAATCAACTCTGACACAGATGATCTTCCATAGTCCATGCCGTGTGGCGATTGTAGTCATGTCTGTCCACAACCTTCTGTCTCGTGTACTTTTAATCAACTCTGACACAGATGATCTTCCATAGTCCATGCCGTGTGGCGATTGTAGTCATGTCTGTCCACAACCTTCTGTCTCATGTACTTTTAATCAACTCTGACACAGATGATCTTCCATAGTCCATGCCGTGTGGCGATTGTAGTCATGTCTGTCCACAACCTTCTGTCTCGTGTACTTTTAATAAACTCTGACACAGATAATCTTACATGCGATGGTGTCAAACTGTCCAGCATCTGTTCTCTCGGTCTCCCTCTGCCGGTCCTCCCCTATAACCTTCCTAGAGTCACAATGTACTTTAGTTTTCTCTTTCTCGTTACATGACCAAAGGATGTAGATTATCTCCCCCTGATGTGAGCAATCAGTTCTCTTTGTGAGCCCGTTTCTTTCAAGACCTCTTCGTTGCTCATTTTATTTGTCCAGGGTATTCTCACCATTCGCCTATAAAATCACATCTCCGCAGTTTCCAAATAAGTTTTCGCTAATCTACCAACTATCAGTGATTTACGTCCGTATATCAAGATAGTACCCGCATGGCGGGTCGACCCAGCCTAAAATGGGTAACATGATGTTTGTCCTGGGAAAGTAAAGACAGCCGGCGTAATGCTGCCGACATTACCTACCTAATGCTGATTGGTCTGTACAATTTTGGTTGCTCTTCCCATATACCAAATGCGTCTAAAGGTGTGAAAAGGGGTCTTTACTTTTTTTTTTTTTACTTTTTAAAGACTTGTACAGACGACATGAGGTATATCACTTCACTTTTTGTTTTCTTCTTTCAGGACTTCAGAAAAACTTGAACCACCAGATTTAGAGAACAGCCAGGCCTGTGTATTTTGCCAGGTAAATTCTTCTTCTTCTTTGAATTCACTGATTGTAACTTCAGCAGACAGTTCTGGTTGTTTATCTACTTCTGGATTTCACTCTTGTTACAGAACTTGATTTTGCCTGCACATCCTTTTAACAAATCTCATTTATTTGTATGTTATGTTTATTCAATGGATCAAGCCTAACTCAAGCCTCAGTCTGAAGTATCAAAGCGCCGTGCACAAATTGCATTGCACCGGCGAGGTTCCTGAAATACTTTAGGTAGATTTTTAACTCCAAATTTTGCCTGGGCGGCGCCGTTAGGCTACTCTTTTTCAGTTTTCCAACTGCCAAGGAGTTTTGTTATATGCACAACAATACACACGGGCATGTGATCTTACTACCCAGAGACAAGGGGAAATTACTAGAACTCCACATAAAAAATCCCAGCCTCCGCCAGGGTTCAAACCCGGAACCTCCAGCACTCGAGGTGGATACCATACCTCGAGACCACTTCAGCATTTGCATGCAGAATGTTGGTTCCTCACCTCTCAGACAGACATATTCTGACTTCCAATGAAACACTCATATATAGTTAGCTTTTATGACAGCACGCTTGTTGGGGGGGGTTAGTGGATCTACCCCGCTCCCCCCTCCCCAATTGGGGCACTGAAACCCACATGAGAAGGGGGCAGGTGCCCCAATACACTAAATAATTGTTTATGGTATCTTTGATGTCTGTGGAGCTCCCATTTACAGAGCACTCATGTAGGCGCTCTCCCACTGCTGACACTTGACTTCAACACTACAGGGTAGTTAGTTAGTGAGTTGGGATATGATCTTTGCACTCCAGACATGTCCGTAGGTGCTCTGGATCCTTCCCTCAATATGAATCCCAGCGTCCTGTGACTAATAGTGCCAGTCTTTGTTGAGTGATTCAACACCACAGGGCAGAGAAGGATCAACTTGCGATAAAATGATGTCTGTGACCTTCTACTACATGGGAACATCGAAGATAACTGACCTGTCAATAGCATCATCTTTTGGGGGCCTGAACCTTTTCCTTCAAAAACCCTTTAAAGAAAACTCAGCTTATCCTGCACAAATTCCTTTAAAAAAAAAACATCACTAGTACATTTCTTAAATATTAATTTACACATATTTAAACAATTGTTTCTCTAAAAAATACATGAAGGGAAGTCATTAGTGAACAGGAATAAAATGTTTAAATTTAATTATTAATTGTCTTTGTACTTTAACAAAAATCATAATATGACCTTTGACCCTCATTACTAAAGACTTAAGAAGAATTTTGATCCAGTCTTTTATTCTGACTGTCTTTGATGTCTTGTATCTATTGCTATCTGGGTCAATCCATCCCTGGACTTCCAGTAACCACAACTCCTGCTACATTTTATGTTTGTGTATTGGTTTTCAGTCACCCCTGGACACGGATGTTGGCAAAGCCTCAGCCTTGCGGGCAATTGAGTACTCTCAACGAATTTCACGGGCAGGCCAGAATGCGAAGTCTGCCAATTGTCATGGTGATGACACAAAATGCCAGGATAAGGCAGCAGGTGAAAGTAATTGCCAGGCACCGGAGCTGGCTCGCTCTCTTTGTTACGGATGTCGTGTGACTCTACAGAATTTTGTAAGTATCTTTCATTTCTTTGTTGGTAAAATATTGAAATATTAGTTATTTATACAACTAACCCTCCATTTCTCCTTTTCCCCCATTTCCCAGCTGGCAGTTCATCATTTCTGATCTTTTTGTCTCACCATCTCTGAAGTGCATCCTTGCACATCAATCCGGCCCATTTGTGCTCCATCCTCAGATGCAGCCTCCATCTCCGAAAGTCACAGATATCACAATCAATTATAAACTCCAGTATAATGTGCCAATAACTCTTGTAAAGGCAAATGCAGAAGAAGAAGAAAAAGAGTACGTCTTCATATCTAGGACATCTTTAATGTCCTGTGTCCACATTTATAATGGTCTGCCTCTGCCTCTTCTTTCAAGTACATTTTTGGTACATGGTGAGGACAGAAATAAAAGTAATCTGTATATCTAAGGGAGACCCAGGTTCGAATCCTCAGTAGGGCCGGGGATTTCTTCTGTCGGGGGCACAATAAAATCCTTACCTGCACAGTCGTGGCGACAGCACTTGCCATGCAGCCGTAAATCATCCTGCTCAAAGACCCTCCTGCCTACACCGCAAAAGTGGTAACATGAAGGCAGTAAGTAAAAGTAAAATTAAAGGACCCTTTTCTACGCCTTTAGGCGTATAGGGCATATAGGGCTAGACCTATATTTTTATAGACCAATCGGTACAAGATGGGTGATGGGATTAGCATCATGCCGGCCGCCATTACTTCCCGGGACGGCACCCGGTACCCACTCTAGGCTGGGTCGACCTGGGAGCCAAGGTCATTTTTTAACAAAGTCCGGCTCCGCCAGGGAGCGAACCCACAACCTTCTGATCCGCGGCGAGCGTCTAGTGACTCCCTAACTACATGAAGGCAGTAATTGGCAGTATATCTAAGAGGAGACAGCCTGATTCTATATCCCTAGAAGCTCTTCTCGGAATCTGAAAATCCTGCAGCGAGTTCAAGCAGACATGTTGAGATCATGAGTTTTTCTCGTAGCAACTTAGGAATCTGAGACATGGACTCATACTCAGACTGTGGAGAAAAATCGGAGCTTTTGAACTGAAACTCAACAGAAAAAGTTGTAGAATCTTGTAGACCAAGAAGAAGAAATACACCGACATCCTGCCTGACCTGAGCATCGAGGAGAATTGGCTCATAAACAGCATCCTGTCTTGAAAGCCGAGCTATTTTGACCCTGTTGAATACAGATGTTATAGTCCAGGTCTAAGAATAACACAGGTAAAGAAAAGACAAAAGAACAAATGTGTCCATACTTCAAGAACTGAATATTGAAGTAGGTTGGCTATTAGTTGAGTTGAGTTGAGTCAAGAATTGACATCACAGCACTCTGGGCATTGCCATGTGTGCTCCATCCTTATCTTCAGCAGTCAGCACAGAGTTCCAGTACTGATGGTACCGGTCACAATCTGGTTATATTAGCTGGCTTTTTAAAGATGATAAACACAGAAAATTGAAATGCTTTAGTCACTTGAATCGTCACAAAAGTTTAGAGAGAACAAAAAAGGGAGGGGTATATGCCTGGGAAGAGAGGAAGAGGAAGGCCAAAGAGAAGATTGGTGCAGGATGTGGCGGATGATCTCCAGATGGGTGTGTCAGATGCGGGACATATGCGGGACATCTGGCTTGTGATTGAGAAGTTTTCCGGAGGGTTGTTTGGGAGCAGATTCTGCAAGGGACATGATACTGACTAACTAACTAAACACCGGGTGATGGAGGGTACACTGTCCCCCCAAAAAATGCAGCAGAGCCAGAGCATGAACACGAATAGAAAACAGCGAAGATGCATTGTCTGTGAAAGCACACGAGGCTGGAGGATTGTTAGAGAAGGAGAGACTTTCCGGCCTGCCATGATGAGAGTGATGTTCTGTAAGGGACCTGATGATGATATTTGCACTGCAATAGGAAACAGATTGATGGAGGCAACAAGGATACCCAGATGGAGGCAACAAGGATACCCAGATGGAGGCAACAAGGATACCCAGATGGAGGCAACAAGGATACCCAGATGGAGGTTGTTGACAGAAAGCAAAGCTGCTGGACCGGATTGCATCCAGGATGTCAAAAAAAGAGTGTACAGGATAGAATGGGGTACCCCCGTGTGGGTTCCGGGGCCCCATTGTGGGGAAAACAAGAATAGACCCACTGCCTCCCCAAAAGCATGACGTAAGAGTTGACTAATTGGGGAGCTTCTTTTGAAGTCGGAGTGCATCTGCCGGAGAGGCAAGGAACCAACAGTCTGTATTCAAGAGAATGAGATCTGTAAAACTGATGCACACGCAACACTCAGGTTCTGGAGCAGGACTGCAGTTCAGTAGTGGACGAGCAACCAGAACTTTCTGCCAGAGTGTACAGCTGGTGAACGTGAAGAAGAAGAAGAAGAATGGGGAAGAGGAATAGACTTTGGCCCCTCTGAAACATATCAACAGGTTATGATGATGATATTTGAGGTGTTTTTGTTTTCTTAAGTGTAATAGTTTGTTATTTCTTAAGTGTAATTTTAATGTACAAAAATGTTTGTATTTGTACACACTGACACCCAGTGATATCTCTCGCCAGAATTTTGAGAAGTCATCGCTGCCTAACTTGGTCCGGCAAAGATCTGCTGCAAAAAACACAAGGTGTGTACACATAGGGTACTTTCATCTGATTCTTTTTGTTGTTGTTGATTTGTTTGGTGTCTGATTATTCAGTCTCTGATTCTTTTTGTTGTTGTTGATTTGTTTAGTGTCTGATTATTCAGTCTCTGATTCCTCTTCTTTTTTCTTCTCTGACTGATGAGTGCCTGTTTAATATTATGTGTTTAATATCTGATTGTTTAGTCTCTTGATTGTTGTCTGTTTAATGTTGATGTTTTTTGGTTTCTGATTGTTTATTGTCTGTCCAGTGTTTTTTGTCTGGTTATTTAGTCGCCTGATTGTTTAGTCTTATTTTTTAATGTTTGATTTTGACTTGTTTAGTATGATAGTTTGATTTAGTTAAGTAAGTTTGTTAGTCGTTATGGTTCTGGCATCACAGCCAACAAGCTTGGCCCATAATTGTTCAACCGCCTATGCCAGTGATTCCAGTCACAAACTGAGTCAGATATGCTGGATACTTCATGTGAATGCCGTAGCCATACAAAGTGTCCTCGGTCAGCAAAACACACTCGATTTGATCTGGCAAACCATAAGGCACATACCTTCTTAAACACATTGCGAGAACAGGTGCCATAGCTGAAAATCAACTTCATTCGACAAATAACTGGGTGATAAGTAGATTAAAACTATTCCTGACCATTCTCCGAATGTCCTCGGCCAAGCTGCAGCCATGGCCAGCAAATAAATAGCAACTATAGCACACGCCTTGTCCCAGAATCACAACAATTTAAAGCAGATGAATGTTGATAAGAGCGTTATACTGTTTTTCTTTCCTTGCAGCCACTTGCTGAGGGAGAAGATCTCTGAGTTTCTTCTGGAAGATGTCGACAGCTGATCTTGTCAGCCAGGTAGCTTCACCATTCTGCAACCATGGGGACCAGTCTCTAGTGGATTTGTGACAAGTTTATGATATCTGACAGTGTTATGAGCCCTATGTAGCATATAAAGAATGAATGATCCTGTCACAAGTTTAGTGAATGCAGTTTGACAGCTTTGTGCAGCCGGCTCAGACTGCATTTGTGAATTTATCTGTGAGAATAACATGGCTGAATCTGTGACAATTTGTGGGACTGTCTTAAAGAAAACCTTGTAACACTGTCTGTGACAATTTGTGGGACTGTCTGTATGACAACCTTGTAACATTGTCTGTGACAATTTGTGGGACTGTCTTTATGACACCCTTGTAACATTGACTCTGACAATTTGTGGGACTGTCTTAAAGAAAACCTTGTAACACTGTCTGGGACAATTTGTGGGACTGTCTGTATGACAACCTTGTAACATTGTCTGTGACAATTTGTGGGACTGTCTTTATGACAACCTTGTAACATTGACTCTGACAATTTGTGGGACTGTCTTAAAGAAAACCTTGTAACACTGTCTGGGACAATTTGTGGGACTGTCTTAAAGAAAACCTTGTAACACTGTCTGGGACAATTTGTGGGACTGTCTTTATGACAACCTTGTAACACTGTCTCTGACAATTTGTGGGACTGTCTTAAAGAAAATCTTATAACACTGTCTGTGACCATTTGTGGGACTGTCTTAAAGAAAACCTCGTAACACTGTCTGTGACAATTTGTGGGACTGTCTTTATGACAACCTTGTAACATTGTCTCTGACAATTTGTGGGACTGTCTTAAAGAAAATCTTATAACACTGTCTGTGACCATTTGTGGGACTGTCTTAAAGAAAACCCTGTAACACTGTCTGTGACCATTTGTGGGAATATCTTAAAGAAAACCTCTTAACACTGTCTGTGACAATTTGTGGGACTGTCTTTATGACAACCTTGTAACACTGTCTGTAACCATTTGTGGGACTGTCTTAAAGAAAACCTCGTAACACTGTCTGTGACAATTTGTGGGACTGTCTTTATGACAACCTTGTAACACTGTCTGTAACCATTTGTGGGACTGTCTTAAAGAAAACCTCGTAACACTGTCTGTGACAATTTGTGGGACTGTCTTTATGACAACCTTGTAACACTGTCTGTAACCATTTGTGGGACTGTCTTAAAGAAAACCTTGTAACACTGTCTGTGACCATTTGTGGGACTGTCTTAAAGAAAACCTTGTAACACTGTCTGTGACCATTTGTGGGACTGTCTTAAAGAAAACCTTGTAACACTGTCTGTGACACCTTTTTTTTTGTCTGTGCTTAGAGTTTACAGCTGAAAGTTAAGAAATGGTATCACAGCACTCGGGGAATGCTCTGTCCATTGATCATCACAGTCTGATAAGAGTGATGCAGCGAGGAGTGACGAGAGGGATCTGATGAGAGTGATGCAGTGAGGAGTGACGAGAGGGATCTGATGAGAGTGATGCAGCAAGGAGTGACGAGAGGGATCTGATGAGAGTGATGCAGCGAGGAGTGACGAGAGGGATCTGATGAGAGTGATGCAGTGAGGAGTGACGAGAGGGATCTGATGAGAGTGATGCAGCGAGGAGTGACGAGGGGGATCTGATGAGAGTGATGCTGCGAGGAGTGACGAGGGGATCTGATGAGAGTGATGCAGTGAGGAGTGACGAGGGGGATCTGATGAGAGTAATGCAGTGAGGAGTGATGAGAGTGATGCAGCGAGGAGTGACGAGGGGATCTGATGAGAGTGATGCAGTGAGGAGTGACGAGGGGGATCTGATGAGAGTGATGCAGGGAGGAGTGACGAGGGGATCTGATGAGAGTGATGCAGTGAGGAGTGACGAGAGGGATCTGATGAGAGTGATGCAGCGAGGAGTGACGAGGGGATCTGATGAGAGTGATGCAGTGAGGAGTGACGAGGGGATCTGATGAGAGTGATGCAGCGAGGAGTGACGAGGGGATCTGATGATAGTGATGCAGCGAGGAGTGACGAGAGGGATCTGATAAGAGTGATGCAGTGAGGAGTGACGAGAGGGATCTGATGAGAGTGATGCAACGAGGAGTGATGAGAGTGATGCAGTGAGGAGTGACAAGAGGGATCTGATGAGAGTGATGCAGTGAGGAGTGACGAGAGGAATCTGATGAGAGTGATGCAGCGAGGAGTGACGAGGGGATCTGATGAGAGTGATGCAGCGAGGAGTGACGAGGGGATCTGATGAGAGTGATGCAGCGAGGAGTGACGAGAGGGATCTGATGAGAGTGATGCAGCGAGGAGTGACGAGAGGGATCTGATGAGAGTGATGCAGCGAGGAGTGACGAGAGGGATCTGATGAGAGTGATGCAGCGAGGAGTGACGAGAGGATCTGATGAGAGTGATGCAGCGAGGAGTGACGAGAGGGATCTGATGAGAGTGATGCAGCGAGGAGTGACGAGAGGGATCTGATGAGAGTGATGCCACGAGGAGTGACGAAGGGATTTGATGAGAGTGATGCAGCGAGGAGTGACGAGAGGGATCTGATGAGAGTGATGCAGCGAGGAGTGACGAGAGGGATCTGATGAGAGTGATGCAGCGAGGAGTGACGAGAGGGATCTGATGAGAGTGATGCAGCGAGGAGTGACGAGAGGATCTGATGAGAGTGATGCAGTGAGGAGTGACGAGGGGGATCTGATGAGAGTGATGCAGCGAGGAGTGACGAGAGGGATCTGATGAGAGTGATGCAGCGAGGAGTGATGAGGGGGATCAGGCAGAGAAAGGGCAAGATGGACGTATAATCAGACTGCTACTGGTATCATTGGTATTGGAACTCTGCACTTGCTGCTGGAGATGGGGACAGAGCACACATGGGAATGCCCTGAGTGCTGTGGTGCCTGTTCTTGAATCTACTGAACTCAGCTCTGTCCCCATTAACTGTGGTGTATCTTCATTTTTACTCTAGAGCAATGACTCTCAACCTGCCACTCGCGATCCTTTTTTGGGTCCCTTTCACAGGGTTCGCCTGACCATCAGAAAACACATATTCATTGAAGTTATGAAGGAAAATAATTGTTTGGAGGTTGTCACAACATGAAGGAACTATATTAAAGGGTTGCGGCATTAGGAAGGTTGAGAGCCACTGTTGTAGACCATGTTTTGCCTATCCACGTCAGGTTTTGAGGAGGCATCTGGTGTGAGCCTTGATGTGTGTATCTGCTTTGTAGCTGCTGTAATCATGACATCGGATATTCCGTCTATCCAACGCTTGCATGGCCGACCTATGGTTCTACTTCCGTTGTGTCTGAGTGACCAGGCTAATGTTAGGACAGTTATCACAGTTCCAGTATTAATGATGCCGGTTGTAGTCTGATGATATGTCCAGTTTTTTTTTTTTAAATATTGAATCTCAGCCAGGTCCTATGGTCAGTCTCATTTGTCTAGACTCAGGGGCCTATTTTGCAATTTGACCCTGTTCACATTCCTCTAAAAGTGCTTTGACCACATGCTGGAGCTATGTGTCCGTCTCTGACATTATTTGATTGACTAACTTTGTAAAATCTCTGCTGACCTGGCCTGAAACAACTAAAGGTGAACGAATTTATGACAGCTTTGTGTGGATAAATTTATGACAACTTTTTGTCTGTTGATTTTATGACAGCTTTGAGTGAATGAATTTATGACTACTTTGTGTGAATGGATTTATGACTACTTTGTGTGGATGGATTTATGACTACTATGTGTGAATGGATTTATGACAGCTTTGTGTGAATGAATTTATGACTACTTTGTGTGAATGGATTTATGACAGCTTTGTGTGAATGGATTTATGACAGCTTTCTGTGAATGGATTTTTGAAAGCTTTGTGCCACCGATTTTATGACAACTGTAAGAGAATGAGTTTATGCCAGCTGTGTGAGAATGTGTTTATGCCAGCTGTGCGAGAATGGATTTATGCCAGCTGTGTGAGAATGAGTTTATGCTAGCTGTATGAGAATGAGTTTATGCCAGCTGTATGAGAATGAGTTTATGCCAGCTGTGTGAGGATGAGTTTATGCTAGCTGTGTGAGAATGAGTTTATGCCAGCTGTGTGAGAATGAGTTTATGCCAGCTGTGTGAGAATAAGGTTAAGACGGCTGTGTGTGAATGAGTTTATAGCAACTTTCTATTCTTCTGCCCTTTATCTCCCAATGGAGCATAGGTCCTGAACCGACCCAGCAAAGTCATTCTATCCTTTGCTATCTCTTGCAGCTCTCCCCTTGTCCTGTCCATTGTTTTAACAACGCTGGCCTTCTCTATGTGGTTTGTGTGTGAGTGCCCTTATTTATGTGTCCCTGTGGGTTCTGGTGTAAATACATTCTAGTTATGTTGATCTCAGTTCTTCTCAACATGTGTCCTATCCAGTGCCAGCATTTCTTCTTCACCTCATGGTTCCCTGGAATTTGTTTAGTTCTCAGCAAAAGTTCCACAGTAGTGACTCTATCATACCATTCAATTCCCTCTACTCTGCTCAGGCACCAGTTAATAAATGAGTGTATACTATTTAAAGACAGAAAGAAATATGTAGCAACAGGAAAGGAATATAGTTTTACCATTCAAAGTCTTTGTAATTTAATGAGTGAAATTGTTCAAATTCCACATAAAAATACCTTAGGGTTTAACCTGTCAGTTGACAGTGTTTTTTTTTGCATTTAGGCCATCGATAGTTTTTAGGTGTACGGTCTTTCCATCAACTAATAGAAATGCAGCACTCTGATAACTGTGTGTTTCTTTTTTCTTGTCTTCTCAGCAGTATATTATTAAATTAAAGCACTGTTTCCCTGTTGTAAAGTTGAATAAAGAAGACATAAACAGTACATTATTGTTTGTGTCTTCTTGTTTTTCAAAATATTTTAGTTTTAAAAATGTTAAACAGCTTTGGATGGATGAATAATGCGCTTTGTTTGAGTGTAAAGTAAGAAAATTGAAAGGACCCTTGTGCCCACTTCAGGTTTGGGTGAATG